GACTGAGGTTCAGATGGAGCTCTACACAGAACACTTTCCCATAGATGTGGTTTTGAGTTATATGGCTTTAAGGATTTATAAACTGTACAGAGTACAGCTGGGATGGTTCAGTTCAGTCCTTCCTATTTTGATGGACTACAACTCCCAGCATTCTCACTATTGGTTGTGCTGATGGCAGCTGCAATTTAAGAGCGTCTAGAGGACTACTTTTTCCCCACCTTGGTACTCAGGGTAATGTTACCAGGGATGGGGGGGGGGGAACTNTTGCAATTGAAGAGCGCCTAGAGGACTACCTTTTCCCCACCTTGATACTCAGGGTAAAGTTACCAGTGATGGGGGGGGGGAACTACAGTCTTCAGGATGTTGCTGAGCTAAGTTGCCATCGTTCCTGATCATTGAATATAGTGGCTTAGGCTGCTGGGGTTTGGAGTGCAGCAACACTGGGGAGACCACTTGTTTTCCGCTCCCCTCTGCATTACACAGTTTCTGGGCCTCTAATGAAGGAGGTTCTTCATTACCAGCTGTTTGACTGTTCTTTGCTTACAGGTCACTCTGTTTCCACGCCATGCCTACCCTCTATCTTGCCCCACATCCTGATAACTTCCAGAACCTCCGTGTACTCATTGCAGCTCGCTATGGCCGACAGGAGCCCAGGGTGGTTGCGCTGGCTCCCGACACGAAGTTGGGGAACCCTTCCTTCTCTTTGCCCAAGCTCCCAGCTCTGGAGACTCAGGCGGGCACCTATGTGTCTGGCCCAGCAGCGGTTTCTTACCTGCTCTCCCCTGATGCCATGAGCGGGCGAGGCTCCGAAGCGGGCGCCTTGGTGCGGCAATGGATCAGTTATGCCGACTTGGAAATCGCTCCGGCTGCCTGCGCGGTGGCCTTCTCTGTCCTTGGGGTCTCTAAGCAAAATAAACAGGTGAGAGGCCGGGTATAAGGGAAGGCAATACCAGTTTATTTTTTTATTTTTTATTTATTTTATTTATATCCCGCCTATCTGGTCGGTTAAGACCACAGTTTAGCAGGCTGTATCTGGTAAGGGAGCCAGTGGGATGTAGCAGATAGAGTGTGGGAGTAGGATTCAGGAGACGTGGGTACAAATCCCTGCTTGACTACAAAAACTCATTGGAGTCTGGCAAGAATAAACTACTCCTTGAACATCTCATATATCTCAAAATCTTTACTTAGATCGTGAAAAACCGGAATCTATTTGCTGGAACAGAACAGTGAGCATGTAGTACAATGGCTAATAATATGAAGGGTGTCCACTCAGAGGAGGAGGAGGTGGTGGTGGTGCAGGAAAGTTCAGGTACTGGGTGCAGGGGGGCAGGGAAGAGGAGCCATGGCGCCCAAAGAATAGCTGTGTGTCCAAAGAAGGAACCATTATGAACTGTGGGATCGTCAATTTGTGCCCATCTCTAGTATTTTGCATTGCTTAATCTTGCTCCAGCATCACCATTTTTCTCTCTCTCTGAAATATCTCCTCAGCCTCAGATGGAGCCTCAGAAAAGCTGCTCTCTAAGCCTGTTGATGCATTTTTTGTTTAGACTCTAGAATTGTCCACTCTGGAAGTTCCACCTGCCCAAAAGATACTAAAATGGTGGTCACCTGGATGAAGACAGGACTGGAAGTCCTCGTAGCCCTGAATTAGACTCAGCTTGGGCTTACTTTCCTGTTGGGAAAGAAAGCTGCCTCCAATCCTTAGCGGCACTCAGCGTCTGAATTCCCTGTTGCAGGGAAGGATGGGGCCCGTAGAAAGGCGAGGTGGTACCATTTCACCTTCCCATTACCACCTTCTTCTGTTTAATAGGGAATTTGGGTATTGAAAACAAGACTAGTGAGGAAGAAGCGTGTGTCAGCAGGCTTGGGCAAGGTCTAAAATCTGCAGAAGTAGAATCATTTTTGTTAAGAATTATAAAGGAGAAATCCCTGTTGTTTGAAAATACGGTTTGCACTGAATGCTCAACAGCAGCAGGACATGGAAGCGATTTTCAAAGAGGTCTGTCTCAGTATAACAACAACAACAACAAAAAAGAAAACCCACAATTCTTGTGATATCTTTTAAGACTACAGATTTATTTTGGCATGGACTGTTGTCTCAGATGCATGAAGTGCTATATTCAGCCTCAGATATTTATACTCATACATGGTTGTGGGACTAGAGTGTAGAAAACAGCAGTAGCATTATTACCATGAGTAATAACGTTGAGTGACAGGTCAAAAAGAAACTGGCAGATTTGGTGCAAAGAATGATGGATTCTTGTGGAAAAGGTCGTGGCTGCCATGTTGAGTTCTGAGCATGAGTAGTTCTCTAAAGAGGTAAAGATGACCTGCAGCATTTTATAAAATCATAATATCGATGCCTCCCTTCACTTGTTTTATATTGCATGCAATTCTTCATCTACTTTTCCTGTTCTGTGTAAATGTTAACTAGTACTCTTTCAGGAAGACATTTTGTGAGTGAAGGTTGCAATTATCTGCATGCTTATCTAGGATTAAATCCCATTGAAGCCAGGATTTACTTCTGAGTAGATGGAATTGTAAATCAGATTATTCAGAGGCCTCTTGTAGTCTTTTTTTCCTTGATGTGTCTACACACATTGGCCGTCCATAAAAGATGTGGAACAGATCTCTGAAAATCACATTTGGAAAGAGGATGCATTGTGATGATCAGTGATCTTTCTGATGGAAGAGAAGGTGGTTGCAAAGTCTCAGGTTGGGATTAAGGAGAACCTCCTTCAGCTCTCTCTGCCGCTCGGAGATGCCTTTGGGTTTGTCAGCTAAACCCCTACCCTGCGTTGTGAGTGTGATGAAGGCTTGGTGAGGAACATGTCGGTCATGTTGAGCTCCTTGAAGGAAAATTTGGAGAAAAACACAATGGCAGTAAATGTTGGGGACAGTATAATGTCATCTACACTTCAGGGGCGCTGTGTTCTGAGAGCGAGCCATGTCATCCTCTTGCTTCCTGCCCAGGTGACGGACCGGGCTATGGCAGAACTTCAAAACCTGCTCAAGGTGTTAGATCACCATTTGAAACTCCGGACGTACCTGGTGGGGGAAGCTGTGACGTTGGCTGATGTGACCGTTGCATGTTCTCTGCTGCTGCCATATAAATACGTGAGTCACCTTGCTCTGTCGTAAACCCGTGGGATCTCCAGATTGCGGTTGTGGGAGCTTGTTAAAAGAAAGGGGAATTGCATGTGTGCAATGGGGTCCTGAATGCCTTCTGAGACAAGTGCCAAGTAAAAAACATCCAGATACCCAATGGATGTTGTACATGCAGTTAAAGGGAAGACTTGACCCACAAAGGGTGCTATAGCAAGACCGTGATATGGCTAGCGTAGGTCCAGCTTGAACTGTCCCAAAGGTTTGTGGTGTGCATAAAGTGCCAAAGAGGAGAACTGACTGGGAATAAATTAGATTATAAAAGTAACAGGAGGAATAAAGATTACTATTACTGTGATTTAGTTTCTTTAATGCTTTGTCCATATTTTCAGTGGCAGGCTACTCTCTGCCAGTTATAAAAGCAGATTCCATTTCTTTTACGTATCAGAAAGCAGAGGAAGTAAAACAGCAGCAAGACAATAAAATTGTCTGAAATTTATATTCTGAATAATGTTTTGCTTCACAGTTTTTTAACAAAGTGGTCATGGATCAGTCTTTCCCAGATCCCATTCCTGTCCACACAGGGTCATGCTCTTTATTAAGATATCCTCCCATGCAAGAACTTTACTCATCTCTGATTTATTAGTCCTATTTTCCGCCTCCCTCTTGATGTTTCCTTTAGGTCTTAGATCAAGGTCTCCGGACGTCTTACACCAATGTGACCCGTTGGTTCCTGACCTGCATCCATCAGCCAGAATTCCAGTCTGTTCTGGGACCCGTGAAGTTGCGTGAGCAAGGCCTTGGGCAGGGGATCCCCAAACTGGATCTCAAAGGTAAGAGGAAAGCCGCCAAATATCCTCACCTCACCCCAGATCCTCATAAATTGGCCAAGAACAACCAACCAAACAAACAGAAACCTTGAGCAAAGAATACAGCTTCATGGTTCCATTGAAATAAAATATAAATGCAAAAGTAGGCAAAACTCATCATACAGTACACAACTTGTTATGGATTAAAACACTACTTCGTTGGGTCTGTACCCGTGTGAAGGACTTAAAGTCCAAAAGTTCATGGTACGATGGATTTTGCCAGGGAAGTTAATCTTAGATGTAAATTCCAAAAGGTCTTGGCGTGATGGAATTTGCCAGGCATGTCTCTCTTCGATGTAAGTTGGAAAGTAGTACGGCTGCTGTTTTATGGTTGCCGCTGAAACAGCTGTGGATTGAGTGTAACAAGCCAGTTCTCCAAACAGATGCATGGCACAGGCCATGCGTGGTTGAAACTATGAATCAATTAAATCTTCCCCACCTTGGAAAATGGTAGATAGAACTGCTGGATAGCTCAGGGGTTTAGGCACCTGGCTGCAGAGCCAGACGTCCGGAATTTGTTCCCTTACTGTGCCTCCTTGACAGTGGCCAGACTTGATGATCCCTTCCAGCTCTGCAGGTCTAAAATTGTGATTGTGACGACGAGTCGCTCCAGATAATTTGCGATTAAAATTTCCATTGCCACTCAGCCAGCCGGGTCACTAGATTGGTGTGAGTTGTGATGTCTTGCACACGGAGGATGACAAACTTGAGAAGGGCGTCCTGATTTCTGTGCCAGCCACAGAAGGCCATGCTGGGTATCAGTTAAACAAGATTTGTTAAAGGAGGTTGAAGAGGCTTATTTGGTTCATGTCCTTTACCCTAAGAACCGGTGTTGAGCCACAAGGAAGAGTTGGCAGAGCAGAGGGAGTTAACTGAGCCGCCCCCTAAAAGTGCTTCCCAGCTGAAGAAGGAAGCCAAGAAAAAAGAAAAACTGGAGAAGTTTCAGCAGAAGAAGGAAAAGAGCCAGCAGCAACAGCAGGGGGAGGTAAGAACTAGAGAGGGAGAGTGCATTTAATTGTGGTAGGAAGGCAGAAAGGACTGTACAGTGGTGCCCTGCTTGACAACGATAATCCGTTCCAGGAAAATCGCTGTTAAGCGAAATCGTCGTCAAGCGAAAACACCACATTGGAATGAATTGAAAACTGGTTAATGCGTTCCAATGGGGAAATACCTTATCGTCCAGCGAAGATTGCCCATAGAGAACCGCCGATCAGCTGTTTAAAATCACTGTCTTCCGAAGCAGGGGTCCGGAAAACAGCCATTTTGTGAAGGGAAGCCAGCCATTTTGCAAATGGAAGCTATTTTGCGGAGCCGGAAAAAACATCGTTTTGCGAACAAACGGTTCGCGAAACAGGTACCTAATCAACGTAAAGTGAAAAAAACCCATAGGAACCATTGTTTTGTGATCACAATAGCAATCACAAAAAACTCATCGTCAGGCAATTTTGTCATCAAGCAGGGTACCACTGTACCACTTGGGTGTGTATGCACGTTGAGGAGGATAACATGTCGCACCACCCAGCGAAATAAACAAGAACGAGAAACAACCCAACCCCACCCACCCAACCCCACTATGGAAGGTTGGTATGTGGTGAGGGAGGTTGTAGTTTTGTCATTTGTGATTCTCTGCAGAAGAAGCCAAAGGCTGAGAAGAAAGAGAAGAAGGATCTTGGAGTCATAACGTATGACATTCCGACCAAGCCAGGGGAGAAGAAAGGTATGGCCGAGTTTGGCAAGAAATGAGGGGCTGGACTTCTCTGTTTTACACCTTACCCTATTATTCAATATGTTAATAATATTTTAAAAATGGGTTATACAAAATGAGGGGCCCAAAGGAAAAATGTGATCAGAACATTTTTGGTTCATTTGCTTTACCCATATTCTTAAAAGCCCCTATTCAGGCCAGCTTTTCCTTATTTTGTTTAGGTAGATCTATGTACAGCTCTCCTTTAAAAAAATTATCCCACCGCTTTCTGCTCTGTATACAGAACAGTAGACATTGAGGAGTTGGCTACCTGCATAAGAGCCCAGGTCCCATGTTGTCTGCTCTGACTGAAAACGACGGAGTCCTAAGAGACCTTTTACATGTTGGTTGCCCGAGACACATGGGAGGCTCTAAGAACTGACCTTATAATAGCAGCATGCTGCAACCTATAGATGGAGAACAGATAGCATTATAGATAGAGAATGTATGCTGAGTGTGGGCGTTGATGACTTACATAAGGGCATCAAGTAGGTTTATGCCGGATGTGAGATCTGAACCCAGGACTTCCTGATTTGCATGAAAGTTAAAATAAAACTGTGGTCCCTCTCACCTTATTCATGTTTATCCACACAGGCCTTTAGTCTCCTGCCCTGGCTTAAAAAAAAAAGAAATTATTAATGTGTTTTTTCTTTTTTGTTATTGTCTAGCTACCTTGTAAAGAAGCCACCCCACAAAATTAACTTGAATTTACTAGCCTGCCAGCTATCGATCGATCGATCGATTGAGAACCTTCAGGGGTCTAAGAGAAGGGGTGATTCTCTTCCTTTTGTAGCAGATGAATTGATTTCTGTGCTGGGCCCAGATGTGTGAGTTTAAAAGGTCCTTTATCCTTCTTTTCTCCCAGTGAAGGGACGAAAGTCTTGGTTGGTTAAGTAGGGCGTTCTGTCTGCCCCTTTCCTTCCCACTCATAGCTTTCCTGTTTTCTCCATCCTTGCAGATGTGATGGGCCCAATGCCGGACTCCTACAGCCCACAGTATGTTGAAGCTGCCTGGTATCCTTGGTGGGAAAGCCAAGGTTTTTTCAAACCAGAGTATGGGGTAAGAGTGAGGTCTGTTCCCCCCTTCCCCAAATAGCTTTATGAATGGATCGGTTAGTTCAGAGTGGGTGGAGGGGGTTTATCACAAGAGGAGGAAATGCATTAAGATTCTGTAGATTTTCCATTCAAACTTTGGGAGCAATGATACTTGGGGCCAGTTTAGGGCCCTGAACCAGGAATGAGTGATCGCAAAATGGAAGAAGAGGAGACCGCGCAGACCAATTGCTGGACTTTGGATTGACTTTACTCCCCATAAATGTCTTATATAAGCAAGGGCAATAGAAAGAGCCTCCTTGCGCCCTCCAGTGGGTCAGAAAATATTTTTTTTAAACATGGTTACCGTATTTTTCCATGTATAAGACGACCCGATGTATAAGACAAGCCACCCCTTTTCTAACCCCAAATTTGAAAATTAGATCCTTGCTTTTCCCTTCCTTTTGCTAAACCACAGGGCTGGTTGTGGGCTCATTGATCATGCAGCCCTTTGATTCCTACTTTTCCCCTTCCTTTTCCTAAGCCACGGGGCTTAGCAAAATGAAGGGGGAAAGTAGGAATCAAATGGCTGTACGATCACTGGGCCCATAACCAGTGGTGGAGGCAGCAGCAGGAGGAGGTGGAGACTGAGGCAGAGATGCAGCTGGGCTTGGCCGCCTCTCGCGGCTGCTTATTGACTGCTGCCATTGCCGCCCTATCACAAGGAGATGATTGCTGGAGGGGGCTATTGGGCAGCTGTGGCAGTCAATGGGCAGCCGTGAGAGGCGGCCAAGCCCGGCTGCTTCTTTGCCTCAGTCTTCGCCTCCTGCTGCTGCCTTCCATGTATAAAACGACCGTCAATTTTTTCTCTAATTATTTTAGGGGAAAATGTCATTTTATACACGGAAAAATACAGTATGTCGCTTTAAAAGGTGGCAGTGTCACGCTCACTCTGTCTCAAAGACACAACAGGATCCATCCCCCCACTAAATTTTAAAAATCTGGGGTGTTTTTTTTGGGGGGGAAACCCATTTTAGGGAGAGGTGGCTCAGAGGCCCTCAGCTGTAGCTTGCTTGACTTGTGCATAAATCTGGCACTGATTATAATACTTTACTTTTATGATGGGCTCTTTAAAAAGGGTGCAGAATTATTACAAGGGGACTGGTACCTTTTTTTGCTGGTCTCAAATAGAGTAGACCCACTAAATCAAATGCTGAATGAGAACTCAGCAGTTCTGTAAAACCAAGGCAAGCTACACCAACTTGACTCTGCTAGACGTATACTTGGATGACTTTTGACCTTATGAAAGTTCCAGCATTCTATTTACGATCCCGTGCCATAGATCTCATGCTTCACGCAAACTGTTTTCTCCTCCTCCTCCCTCTTTACCAGCGTTGCAGTGTTTCTGAGCCAAATCCTAAAGGCCTCTTCATGATGTGCATCCCTCCACCCAATGTCACAGGATCCCTCCATCTTGGCCATGCCCTCACCAATGCCATCCAGGACTCCCTGACTCGATGGTGAGCATCAACTTGAATCTCCTCTTCTTTGGCCACTTCACTAGGCCTGCTGGTTATTTATTGCTCCCCCCCCACACACACACACTTTGCCCTATCTCTGAGCTGCCTTGTTCCTGACAGTCATGATTCCAGGTTACACAAGATGTGTTGGATATGCTCTACCCACCAAAAATCTGCAGAGTGGCCGCAGTGTACAGAATTTAGATTCCCAGTAATTGCACCTTCCATCTGAAACTTGCCAGTGTCAGTCTTAATGGTCCAAAATCCTGTTGCATAAAGGTGGAGTCAGTACTTGCAAGGGGAAGTTTCAGGTAATGGAGGAATTCTTGCTTCAGACTTGCGGCTTGCACAGCTGGGGCACAGTGAGACTGATTTGTGCACAATTTGTGTGAGCCTAGGATTGAAGCAGGAACTCTTTAATTACTGGAAATCTGCCTCTGCCAATAACATTATCTCCCTTAGGTTGGTGTGATTTTTTACAACAGGATTTGGGGTATGTTAACAAAAATTCTCAGGAGGAGCAGTTGTGAAAATGGCAAGATATCTTTGTTTTATTTGCAAGATCTCTCATACAGGTTGCAGATTTGAAAAAAAACCAAGGGTGGTGGCTTCTGTTGTGAGCAGAGCTTTTCGCTGTTCTTATTGCAGAATTGAAAAAAACCCAAGGGTGGTGGCTTCTGTTGTGAGCAGAGGAATGATGAGAAAGGGGTGTGTAGCGTTCTCCATTTATTAGATCTATGGTTCTTGCTCTATTATGTAATGGTTTATGAATATTCGGATTGCTGTGAGGCGGAGCCGGGAGAGATGCTATAAAAGGCGGAGTCAGAGACAGAAGAAGTTTAAGTCAGATAGAGTCAGTTAGAGAAATGTGAGAGTCGGGCAGGAGAAAAAAGCCAGACAGAGTAATAGAGTGTGGAGTTTGGGGAAATTCTGAGGAATGATTAACTACTGAAGATATTCATGAATCAATCTATGTAATCAATAAGCCAAAGTTTTATTTAAAAGAAGTTAAAGTGTGGACCTGAATCTTTCTGAAGTAAATGGTGATTTAGAGATCACCTGGTGGCAGCAAGTGTAAAAGAAGAGAGTGTTTGCCTTCGTGTGCTCTGAGGCTTGAAGGTCAAGCAAAGGGGCACGAGGGTGGACGCCACAGGGTAGTTCACTCTTTCGGCGCCATGAGTGCCTTCACTCAGAATTCTCTCAGCTTTCCTGTGGCCTCACGACGCTCCATGTACAGATCCATGCATGGTAAAAGGCAGCTGTACGATGGTGATTGAGAGCAGACAAATGAGCCAGTGGGGAAAGACAGATGACCCCATCTTCTCCGATGGTTGCCTTCTAAATGTATTTTTCATGTGTGTTTTTTAACAAACTAATTGAGGCTTTGCTACACCCGTTTTCCTACTACAACGGCTCATTGTTTGCAAACACATGGCGTGGTATTGTCTACTTAAGCTGTTAGCTTTGCTTCTTTTAAACAAAGAAGACTTCAGGATGAGGGTCTTCATGCTGCTGATTTTTTGGGGTCACTGACCTCGCATTCATCATCGGTGGCATGCCTGCTGTGCTTATGTGCCCACGTTCCAGGCAGGTCTCGTGGTCTCAGTCAACCATTAGTTGAGGAAATACCCAGATTTAGTCAGCCACAAAAGAAGATTTGCTTGTTGAGTGGCAAACTGTTGTCATTTGCTGAGGGGGGAAAAAAACCATTCAGCGTCCCTAGAAGAAAAGGGCTTCCTTGAAGGGTGACAAATGAGCACCAGTTTCTTGCTCGTATTGGCTGATTTAGGGGAGGCTTTTCTGTCTGTCTTGCAGGCACCGGATGAGGGGAGAGACCACCTTATGGAACCCGGGTTGCGACCACGCCGGCATCGCCACACAAGTGGTGGTGGAGAAGAAGCTTTGGAAAGAGCAAGGGAAAACCCGGCACGACCTCGGCCGTGAGCACTTCATCAAGGAAGTCTGGAAGTGGAAAAATGAGTGAGTGGCCGTGTTGAGTTTGCCTTTGTTCTGAATTCAAGTTAAGCCTACGAAAATGGGGAATTTGCACCGACACAGTCCTTTGTAAGTGCAGAGAAGAACAGGCAACTCCACGCCTGTGTCAACATACTCTGTGCCCTTCGAAAAGCATCGTGGAACACTTTGTGGTAGCTGCCCCCCCCCGCCCGGCTCTTGATTGCTAGATGAAAATGGGCTGTTTTTTTAAAAAATTAATTGTACTGTCATGGTGCTAAATATAGTCTCCAAATCCCGTGAAGTACTAGCCCCCTTCTAAGCAGTATTGATTCTCATCGAGAGTGCTGCGTCCAATTCTGGACACTGTACTTAAAGAAGGAGCCTCGTGGCGCCGCGGTTAAACTGCAGTACTGCAGGCAAAGCTCTGCTAATGACCCAGATTCAATCCCAGGTAGTCTACTCGAGGGTCACTCAGCCTTGAAATCCTTTAAGGATTTTGACAAACTGGAACAAGTTCAGAGGAGGGCAACAAGGATTATCAGGGGACCGGAAACAAGAGCCCCATGAGGAAAAGAACGGGACATGTTTAGCCTGGAGAAAAGAAAATGGAGGGGAGATGTGATCACGCTTTTCAAGTACTGGAAAGGTAGTCATATATAGCAAGGGTCCCAAACTCCCGGTCTGTGGCCCGAGCCAGACCAGGCCGCGGAGACAGACCCCCCTCACCCACCCCCACGCGCACTCCCTCTGCACAGCCCTTTTGTGCCTGCATGTGCACAAATGCCCCCGCAGTGCCACCTGCCCTTCGCACATGTGCATGAGTGCATGCACCTCTGCATGACCACAGCATGCACACGAGCGTGTGCACCCCCACACGAGCACCCTCCTGCTCCTTCGTGCATGCACACGACCATGCATGTGCCCAAGAGAGAGAGAGAGAAAGCGCCCTTCTTTGCACATGCACACGAGCGTGGGGGTTGCCCTGCCTTCCCCAACCTGTCCAGAGAGTTAAAAAGGTTGAGGACCGCTGATATAGAGGAAGGACCGGTTCTGATCCCAGAGTGTAGATCATGTAATAATGGGCTCAAGCTACAGAAAGCCAGATTTACGCTGAATATCGGGAAAAAGTTGTTGACTGTTAGAGCAGTACAACAATGGAACTAATTACCTCAGGAGGCCTTCAAGAGAAAATTGGGCAGCCATCTGTCAGATCATCTTAGATTTGGATTCCTGCCCTTGAACAGGGGGTCGGACTCAATGGCCTTATAAGGCCCCTTCCGACTCAGTTATTCTATGATTCTGGCGAAAACCAAGGAAGAAGGGCGAAAGATCTTGTCGAGTCCTCTGTTGAGCCGCTTGTATGATTCCGTGCATCACTTCCAGTCACAGAGGCGGTATGCCTCACGGACTAGTACCTCACAGGATTTGGAGAGTGTTTGAGGGAGGGTGAGTTGCCTCATGTCCCGTCCATTGGCTCCCTGTAGGAAACCTGTCGGCCCCTGTGTGAGCAGAATGCAGGACTAGACAGGCCTTCCTCCGACCCAGCATGCTTCCCATGTTTCTTCTACTCTGCCCCCTATTAGACCGTAGTGGACAGTGTGGTTTTCTGTGCCTCGTTTCTTGCAGAAAAGGGGATCGGATCTACCACCAGCTGAAGAGACTGGGTTCCTCAATGGACTGGGACAGAGCCTGTTTCACCATGGACCCAGTAAGACCCGAGCGTGTGCCTTTCGGGATATGACAGTTGGGGGGGGGGCAGGGCACAGCTTCCCTTCCTCACAGAGGTGTGGAGTAGAAACGGCCACGTGCCGGTTCGTTTTTCATGCAAACAGTTGCTCAGGGCTTCCCAGCCCCACCTCCTCCGTTGGGCACTGCCTCTGGTTGGGCATCTGTTGGAGGAGGTGGGTCTGAGACGCGCTGGACAACTGTTCACACAAAAAAAAACCTAGCCCATCTCTAGTGAGGACCCTTTGGCTTTCTGAGTTTTTTGGACCACAACATCTCTCAGTCTTTAATCACTAACCTTGGTGCCCAGGACTGTGGAGAGTTGGAAGCCCAAAAACTCTGGACAAGCAGAAGTTCCTGCCCCTCCCTAAGGAAGTTTAGTATTTCGACGTTCCTAGTGCAGGCGTGAGGTGATGGTGGAGACTGAGGTTCAGAGAGACCACGATCACCTTGAGCCCAGTAGAGCTGAGTGGAGAAGCCCAATTGGAGTTACTGGAGAATTAAATTGGAACTTGTTTGTGTTTAAGAAGAAGGCCTGACCTTTGAAATGTGTTGGGCCTAACAGAGGCCTGACTCTGTGCACCTTGTAGTGGGTTCTGCTCCATTTCTCGCACTGGTGCCATCTTGCTTTTCCTTTCTTGAGCAGTTACAGTGACTTGTAGAGCATGCCGTTAGCTCCTAAGAAGCCCATACTGGGTAGCTGATACGAAGGACATGTGCTCACAAGTTTCTTGACTGAAGTGGGCACACAAGCAGGGTGAATACGAAGCCATCCCAGCTTTCATGGTGCCATTGCACCTAATATGTGCAAGAACTGGTTGTAATCCTGAGACATGGATATCCAGAGTGGAATTCACCAGATGGGGTTTGGGATTAAGTGCATCGGCTGGGAGGGAAGGCCTGACCATGTTGCTTTATCTGGGTTTGCCAACAGAAACTCACGCGTGCGGTGGAAGAAGCTTTTATCCGACTGCATGAGGAAGGGGTCATCTATCGCAGCAAACGTCTTGTGAATTGGTCCTGTACCCTCAACTCGGCCATCTCTGACATAGAGGTGATGGGAAGAGAAGGTTCAACGGGTGTACTTTTATGTGCCAATCCGAGTGAGCATCCCAATGATGGTGTTTTTTTTAAATTGTATCTTTTCACCAGGTGGATAAGAAGGAGTTAACAGGCCGCACGCTCTTGCCGGTCCCCGGCTACAAAGAGAAAGTGGAATTTGGAGTGCTGGTTTCGTTTGCCTACAAGATTGAAGGCTCAGGTGAGTAAGGAGACTTGGCTCATGGTTCATCAGGGATTGACCTGGACTGCATGTAGGCCCTCCAGATACTATTGAGTTGCAGTTGCCTTCATTCTGGGAAGCTTGTTATGTTGGCTGTGGCCGATGGGATCTGGAGTCCAACCACAGGTAGTCGTTACACTTGGCCAGTGGTATGGCTCCATTCTCCAACGGAGCACAGTTTTCTTATCTTTCTAAATTCTTTAGATGAAGACGTGGTGGTGGCCACAACTCGTATTGAAACAATGTTGGGGGACACCGCAGTCGCCGTCCATCCTCAGGATCCCCGGTACCAGGTGATGAGCTCTGAGTACATAGATAGAAGTGGGGTACTAAGGATTAGATCACAGCTGGTTGAATAGCTCAGTGGTTTAGGTCTCTGTCTGCAGAGCCAGAGGTTAGGGGTTCAGTTTCCCCACTGGTGCCTCTTGGGAGATGAGCCAGCCTGTATGGCCTTGGGCAAGCACTGGTGCCTCCTGGGAGATGCGCCAGCCTGTGTGGCCTTGGGCAAACTGCACAATCCAGGACACCCCCAGAAGAAGGGAATCGGAAATCACTTTTGAGTGTCCTGTACCTAGAAAACTCTGAAAAGGGTTGCCCTAAGTCAGAATCAAATTGACAGCATATGATGATGATGATTGATCAGGAATGGGAGAATTGGTGATCCAGAAAATGTTGATAGAGCTCCCATCATACCTCATGCTGTCGAGGACTGAGCAGAGTTACGAATCTAGCAGCAGCTGGATGGTCTCATATTACTCAGTGGAGAATTCCCACCATCCTCTCCAAACTACAGATCCCATGATGCTTGGGGGGGTGGAATCTTGAGTTCCCCAGCTCATGATTAGACTTTTGAAGAGGAGGGTCCAGAGTAAGCTGATTGGTAGTTGCAGAGAAGTTTTTTTTTATGGCCTCTCCTTGTATTTCCAGATGCCATAAGTTGGATATAAAGTGTACTTCCTGTCTTTGCCCAAAGATGGGCACGTGGATCAGCCGCTTAATAGTGCCTTGTTGGAACTATTTGAACAAATACCCTGACCGGGATGGACGGGCCATCCTGGGTAATGGGAGGTACAGCAACTAGACAAGTGGAGAAGGCAGTTGTGGATGGTAATGGTGTGTTATAACAGCAGAGTGCCGAGTTGGTTTATTCATTCATTCATTCCATTTATACCCCCCTATCTCGTCACTCATATATATATGAGAGAGAGAGAGAGAGAGAGAGAGTGGTGCCTCGCATAGTGACAATAATCGGTGCAGCAAAAATCGCTGCAAAGCGATTTCGTCGCTATGCGATATTAAAATAGCTGATGCTATTCTAACTTTCCAGTGTTTTACACTATAGCCATTTTCAGTTTCATTTGCATTTTTAATTTAGTTTAGGGAACAGTCATGGCGTAGAAGATAAGTTTGTAGGTTAGGTGAGGTAATCCAGTCAGCCGCTCCCTTTCTGACTATCTGGAATTCCCTGACGGTTCTTCAGTACATCTCTTAACTCTCCTCTGGCTTCTCTTCCAGCACCTGCACGGCCGAAGTGTCCGGCACCCTTTCACTGGGCAGCTCATGCCTATTGTATGCGATGATTTCGTTGACATGGAGTTTGGAACTGGTACGTCTGTAGTTAGTGACAACGGTCCAAGAAGAAGAGAATGTGACCTTATACTGAGTCCGTCCGACTACTCCATGGTCCACAACCCACTGCTGTCAGCTGTGACGGGCAGTCAGTCTTCAAGGTTTTGGCTTAGCCATAGCTACACGTATCTAATATTCCCTGGGGGTCTCCCATCCAAGTATTAACCAGGCTGGACCCTGCTTAGCTTCTTAAACAACACCATGTGTCTTCAAGGTGCTATGGTAAAGTGTATGCTGCTGCTGAGTTTGAAACTTAATAACTCTATGCATGGTGGCTGTCTCCACTACTAAGGTGGGCACGTGGTCCTAGATGGGGACTCCCAGCACCCTCTGGAAAAAGTATGTGCGTTTTTATTTGGGAAAAGAAAATGCTAAAAAAAGGTCTCTTTGTGCCATTGTACGGGAGGGAAAATTTTGCCATAGAATCATGAAGTTGGAAGGGGCTTATAAGGCCATCAAGTCCAACCCCTTGCTCAGTGCAGGAATACACATCAAAGGATATCTGCCAGGTCGTTGTCGTCCTTTCTCTTGAATTCCTCCAGGGTTGGAGAATTCACCACCTCTCGAGGTCATCGGTTCCACTGTCTTACTGCTCTAACAGTTAGGAAGATTTTCCTGATATTCAATCAAAATCTGGCTTCCTGCAACTTGAGCTCATTGTTGCATGTCCTGCACCGGGGGATGGTTGAGAACAGATTGTTCTCCTCCTCTTTGTGATAGTCTTCCAAGTATTTGAAAAGTGCTGTTATACCATGTTTTCAGGCCATCCTGCCCTATTCAGATAATAAAATATTTTTGGCTGCTAGAGGATTTTTTGGTAAAAAGACAAAACGGACCCATTTTTCTCCTCTTGCTGCCCTCCAGGTGCAGTGAAAATCACGCCAGCCCACGATCAGAATGACTACGAGGTTGGACTGCGCCATGGGCTCCCCTTTGTCACCATTTTCGACGAGGATGGCTATCTCATCAACGTGCCCCCTCCCTTCTTGGTATCCATGGGACAATTGGGGGCGGGGCGGGTGAGGGTGTGGAACCCAAAGGGTTTTTCCTGTGGTGAGGGTTGAGCTTTGGCAAAGCTAGAAGTATCTGATACTTGAACCTTGCGTGTATCGGTGATAGTCAGGACTGGGAGCTTTGTGGCACTATAGTTAAAAACTGCAATGCTGTAGTCACACCTCTCTGCTCACAACCTGAGTTCGATCTTGATGGGCTCCGGTAGCTGGTTCAAGGTTGACCCAAACGTCCATCCTTCCAAGTAAATGGAGTATCCAGATCACTGGGGGAGGGGCAAGTTGTTGTTTGCATCATTGAATTGTAAAGCACCCAGAAAATACTGTACACGCTGTAGGGTGGTCAAGAAGCAGAACACTTTAATTTGGAGTTCAGTAACCCATACAGTCAGGGATGTGGTTGCGCTGTGGGCTAAACCACAGAAGCCTGTGCTGCAGGGTCAAAAGACCAAGCAGTCGTAAGATCGAATCCACGCGACGGAGTGAGCGCCCGTCGCTTGTCCCAGCTCCCGCCAACCTAGCGGTTTGAAAGCATGCAAATGCAAGTAGATCAATAGGGACCACCTCGGTGGGAAGGTAACAGCGTTCCGTGTCTAAGTCGCACTGGCCATGTGACCACGGAAGATTGTCTTCGGATAAACGCTGGCTCTACGGCTTGGAAACGGGGATGAGCACCGCCCCCTAGAGTCGGACACAACTGGACAAAAATTGTCAAGGGGAACCTTTACCTTTACCTTTAACCCATACAGTCCTTCCAGCCCATAGAGTCCTTCCGGCTACCTGATTCTCATCTCCGTCCCTATCATCATCTCCACCTCTTCCAGGGTATGAAGCGGTTTGACGCTCGGCGAGCTGTGTTGGAAGCCTTGAAGGAAAGGGGTCTTTTCCGGGAGGTGAAGGACAACCCCATGGTGGTCCCAGTCTGCAGGTGAGGAGAGGGTACAGCATGGAAGAACGTTGATCGCTGTGAGCAATCTAGGGTACAGCATGGAAGAAAGTTGATCGCTGTGAGCAATCTATGCAGGGTTGGGTGGGTGGGTGGGTTGGGGAAAGCAGTTCTGTTCTGCGGACTGTAGTCTGTGACCTGGGAGAATATTTTTTCCTCACTCAGAATAACCACCTTGTGGTTGGTTGGGGCCATGCAGTAAAAGCTTTGGAGTGATGGGAGCCCAGTCTCACATAGAAAACCTTACAGGAGGGTAGATGGTGTGTTACCAGGATCATTGCAAAACCCATCCATGGGCTTGGTAGGAAGTCTGTGCCCTTGAGGAAGAACTCAAGGACACAGACTTCCTACCATTATCAAAGACCTTCCTTTTCAGGCAGGCTTTTAAGCAATGTGACTACAGAACATGAAATTTCAGTATGTTTTTTTTAAACTTTTTTAAAATATTTGCAAAGTTGTTTCTGATCCTAACTAATGTTTAAGTATTTTTTTGATATATAGTTTCCTATGGCACTTTTAACTGTCATTATTGTATGGTTTTAATTGTTGTGACCCTCCTTGGGTCCCCTATGGGGAGAAAGGTGGCATACATACATACACAGCACACACACTACTCTCTCTCTCTCTCTCTCTTCAAGTGACAATGCAGGATCAACACGTTAATTCAAGCTGTTTACCGGCTCTTCAAGAGCAGTGCTTGTCTTTTGTGACACTTAAAAATCTCATGATTTTTAGATGTGCTTCCCTCTGATTTTATTTGAAGTCTGAGATTGCAGTTGAAAACAAAATGCAGCCATTGTGCATCTAGGAAGAAAAGTTTTATATCATTTACAATGTAACTCAAAGGTGGAGGAGAAAGGAAATATAAGAGGATGTGCACATCTAAAATGTGCATGATAGGATAATGCAGAGATTACTATCTGTGGACTAAACAAGTCGATGTGCATAATCATTTCTGTCATTTCCAAGATACAATAGGTCTTATTGATTCCTTTCCCTGGAGAATTCCTAGTTTGGAGAGGTTGCAGCCCTGTCCGTATTAGGCGGAATCGCCGTATACTGGATCGGAGAATCATCCCTCCATAGCACCTCTGTCCACCTCACAGATACAACTCTTGTATCTCTTGCCCCAACCCTGCCACCTTTCAGCATGAAGAGCAGGAATTGAAATGGGGTGGCCGGTAGTGTCCTCTCAATAGGCAGAGCTAGAATTTAGAGGATCTGAAGAGGAAATGAAAGCCATTACGAAGAGGTGGATGATTTCCTCCTTGAAACAAACCCAGGGGGTTAGAAATAAGGCTCTCTGACATAAATACAAGCAAGGACGATATGAACAGGTTGGAAGCATTATTGGGGGATTCTAGGAAAAAAAAGGTTGTGAGGAGAACCAGTGGCAATGGCTGCGCCTCTTGGCCTCGGCTAATATTTTTTTCCCCTCTTACCCTCCCGATTCTGTAGCCGCTCCAAAGATGTGGTGGAGCCACTTCTCAAGCCCCAGTGGTACGTGCGCTGCGACACAATGGCCAGGGGAGCAGCCGAGGCAGTCCGCCGAGGCGACCTGCGCATTGTGCCGGACTTTCACCTCAAGACCTGGTTCAGTTGGATGGACAACATCAGGTGAGAATCCCGTGGAATGGCTGTGATGTGACGGGATGTGGCAAATGGGGGGGGGGGTCTTGTATGAGGCAGGGAAGCTCAGGAGGAGGAGGAAGTCAATTGAAAAGCCCCTGGAAAGTAAAGGAAGAGTAACTGCGAGCAAAGGGACTGAAAGGTGGAGCTGCAACAAAAAGCGGCAGTATGAAGTTCTCCTGTTCAGAGTTCCAGCTAGCCATCAGTCACCCACACTCATTTTCAGGATATTCCGTTTTCTGCTTGCCCCCTTGTTTTTCTACCTATTCTGAATCTACTGTGCATGCTTAGTTCTCTTTGCTGTATATTGGGAGTGGGTTTTAATCCACGCCTCCTCAGGAGTTCCTCCAACCTTGGATTTCTGTTGCCCATTCCAATCCCTCCCTCTTGTTTCTCCCATTTTGGCAACCTTTTATTTATATGTTTTATTTCTACCTCACCTTTCTCCTTGCAGCTGTTAGAACGTTCTGCACAGTGGTCAGCATTTAGTGCCAAAATTCACCGTTAGATCTGAGAGACTCAAAGGAACTTTGTTTGACAGGGAGCGACCACTGTTTAACTAATATCATGCCCCTCTCAGCATTCCCCCCCCCACCCTGAAACATAGAAACTTGGGTGCAAACTGGAAAATCGCATGGCTCAGATTGTTCAGCGCTAGCTGCCATTTTTCTGTTCGTCACCTTACAACTTTCTGAGTTGCTTTCCACAACCCCCCACCATGTCAAAGGCCAGAATGATGTGTGTTAGTTATGTTTTGCGTGTGTGAATTTCAGAACCATCAGAAATTGCAAGTGCTGTGAGAGATGTTTATGACCTGGTTCTTGCTATCTCTCTCTCTCTCCCCCACTTTCTAGGGATTGGTGCATTTCTCGGCAGCTGTGGTGGGGCCATCGTATCCCCGCATATTTTGTGACTGTTCATGATCCCTCAGTGCCGCCTGGAGAGGTAAGACTCTTAAGTTGTTTTGGGATGGCAGTCTGTGTGTGATGGCTCCTTTTGAGGAACATCGTCTTAGCTGGAAGGGAAGCTGTGTTGGAGTTGTCCTCATTCATTCATTCATTCATTCATTCATTCATTCATTCATTCATTCATTCATTCATTCATTCATTTATTTATTTATTTTCTCCTTAAAAAGGACCCAAGGCAGCTTCCATCATTAGAAGACAGCATTTAAAGCTAGTTCTCAGTCAGTCAATCTACCCAATTGCTTTTCATCTATCTTGGATGGTAGCAGAGTTTAGGCTGATTTCAGGGAAGATCTTTCAGGAAATAATCCACCTTCTCCCTCCCAGGACACAGATGGCAGATACTGGGTAAGTGGCCGAAGCGAACAAGAGGCAAAAGAGAAGGCCGCCAAACTCTTCAAGGTGACCCTGGATAAAATCTCCCTCCGGCAAGGTACAGCACCTAGGGGTGGGTGGGATGTGAGGTTTGGGGAGGGAAAGCGGTAAGGAGGCTGGAAAGTGCAAACAGGGGAAGAAATAGGTAAAAATAACCATGTGTTGGGACAAGACAGGAATACATATCGTTTTTCAAATAGCAGTGCTGAAACTTGCTATAATCAGAATGGCCATATATCCTTTAGAGCAGTGGTCCCCAACCTTGGGCCTCCAGATGTTCTTGGACTTCAACTCAAC